TATATATATATATATATATATATATAATAGTTTAATTCCAAGGACTAATCGACTAAATTGAATGATCCAGGCATTAATTAGGATAATTTTAGTCTATTTGTTTTCTAAATCAGCCTTCTCGTAACGTGCAGGGAAGAAGCGTGTCTATCACTGATAAAGATGTGGATAAAAGTGGGGAAAGCGAACATGTTATTAGTGCAGATGAGAAGGACATTGTTACCAATGAAAATGATGTGGAAGACGTTGTTGAGAAGAATGAGGTTACTGTAGATGTTGACACCGTCTCTGCCACTACAGGTGTGAAGGAATGTGAACCTGAAGATGCTCAAAATAGTTTAGAGAAGGCACAGGTTGAGCCTGTCTCTGACGATGGTGAAGGTGTTCAAAATGGTTTGGCAGAGCCGGAGCCAGAACCCTGTGATTGCACTGAGGAGAATGAGATAGATGTTCAAGGTGAACCAGACAGTAAGTTGGAGAGGTCCGAGGAGGAATCAGGAAGTGAACTAGTTGCTGAAGGAGAAAATTTAACAGCCTTAAACAGCACAGATGTGGTTGGAGATGGTGCTGTTGTGTCTGACATTGCAGTGGAGAGAGAAGGTGAACTTTCAATTGATGTTTGTGAGATAAAAAGCAATGCAGTTGATAGTGATGTTGAACATTCTGTTGAGGTGTATGAGATGAAAAACAGTGCAGTGATTAGTGAAACTGAATCTTCAAATGATGCAGTGCAGAGTGAAAATAAACCTTTTGTTGTGTCTGAGATGAAAAACAATGTAGAGGAGAGTGAAGCTGCACCTTTGAACAGTGCAGTGCAGGGGGAAAGTGAACCTTCAGTTGATGTGGGTGACATGAAAAACAATGCAGTGGAGAGTGAAGCTGAACCTTCAAATGGTGCACTTGAGAGTGAAGTTGAACTTTCAAATAGTGTAATGGAAAGTGAAGCTGAATCTTTGAATGGTGTAGTGGAGAGTGAAGCAAAACCTTCAAATGGTGTAGTGGAGAGTGAAGCTGAACCTTCAAATGGTGCAGAGGAGAGTGAAGTTGAACCTTCGAATGGTGCAGTGCAGAGAGATGGTGAACCTTCTGTTGATGCTTGTGAGATGAAAAACAATGTGGTGGAGAGTTTAGATGTTGCAGTGGGGAGTGAAGCTGAACCTTCACATGGTGCAGTTGAGAGTGAATCTAAACCTTCAGATGTTGCAGTGGAAAATGAAGCTGAGCCTTCAAATGGTGCAGTTGAGAGTGAAGCTGTAGCTTCAAATGGTGCAGTTGAGAGTGAAGCTGTAGCTTCAAATGGTGCAGTTGAGAGTGAAGCTGAACCTTCAAATGGTGCAGTTGAGAGTGAAGCTGAACCTTCAAATGGTGCAGTTGAGAGTGAAGCTGAACCTTCATATGGTGCAGTGGAGAGTGAAGCTGTACCTTCATATGGTGCAGTGGGGAGTGAAGCTGTACCTTCAAATGGTGCAGTGGGGAGTGAAGCTGTGCCTTCCAATGGTGCAGTGGAGAGTGAAGCTGTGCCTTCAAATGGTGCAGTGGAGAGTGAAGCTAAACCTTCAAATGGTGCAGTGGGGAGTGAATCTGATACTTCAAATGGTGCAGTGAAGAGTGAAGTTAAACCTTCAGATGTTGCAGTGGAGAGTGAAGCTGAACCTTCAAATGGTGCAGTGGAGAGTGAAGGTGAACCATCAAATGGTGCAGTGGAGAGTGAAGCTGGACCTTCCAATGGTTCAGTGGAGAGTGAAGTTGAACCTTCAAATGGTGCAGTGGAGACTGAAGCTGAACCTTCAGATGGTGCACTGAAGAGTGAAGCTGAACCTTCGGATGGTGTAGTGGAGAGTGAAGCTCAACCTTCAAATGGTGAAGTGGAGAGTAAAAGTGAACCTTTTGTTGATTTGTGTGAGATGAAAAACAATGCAGTGGAGAGTAAAAGTGAACGTTCTGTTGATGTTCATGAGATGAAAAACAATGCTGTGGAGAGTGGGGCTGAACATTCAAAGGGTGCAGTGGAGAGTGAAGCTGAACCTTCAGTTGAAGGTGAAGGTAGCAATCAGGGAGATGAAGCCTCAAGACTTGCCTCTGATGCTTTGGATGGGCAGATTGTGGGTGCAGAGGTTGTGAAAAAACCATTCTACTATTTGATCAGGGTTCCCAGATATGATGATGATGAAAACATTAAAGAGCAGATAAAAAATGCTCTTCACCAAGTTGATGAGAAGACTAAAATTCGGGATGCTATTCGGGCTGAAAGCCAGGTTTTAAAGGTAATGTTATTTTGAAGGCAACATAAAAGAATCTTTTCTGTATTCTGTATGTCTGGGACTAATCTTCATAATTATATTGAATGCTACTATGAGCAGGCTAGTTGTAAGGATTGCGACCAAGAGGTTAAGGCCGCACTAGCTGCTGGCAGAGCTGCTCGGGAATTGCTCAAATCCAAACGCCAGGAAATGGATTCAGTTCAATCCACAATGAATAGATTAAACAACGCAATTTCTGTTGGGGATATAGATGGCAAGGTATGCCTTCAGTTTTCATGTGGAGATATTTGTAAAGATTGGATTATTCTGCCTATGTTGTTTTATTTACTTCTCAAGATATATGATTTATTGGCAGATACGAAACATGGAACACATGATCCAACATGAAACTTTGCCTCTAAATGAAGAAAAGCAATTGATACGCCAGATCAAACAATTGAAGCAGAACCGTGAAGAGTTGTCTTCTAATCTGAGAAAGCAGGATCAATCACAACAATCTGTAGACCACAACGACAATATTGAAGAGCACTTTAAGGTACCATATGCAAGCTTCTGATTGTTATATTTCCTTTCCTGAATTAAATACCTGATTGCATTTCCAGGCACTGTTGATATCAAATATGGTACTTATTTGTAGGGAATTTTTTATTACTTTGGACAAGTTATAAATATTTCAATATTTTCACAGCATTTACAGCTTTTGAAGAAGGAAATGGATGTGCTTAGAAATAATATTATGAAGTCAGATGCAACAACTAAAGCTGCAAAGAAGAAATACAGTGATGAATGTGATAAATTGAACCAGTTGCTGGCTCGGTTTAAGGCTGCTGATGACATACGTCAAGAGGCATATGCTAAGTTACATGCTTTGAAAAAGCAATTGCATGAGAAGGTTTGGTTTTTCCTTTGTTTTGTTTTTGCACTTCATTCCTTTATTTTTGTTATTTCTCTTTGATAAAACAATTGCCAATGTCATGCACAAACATTGACCCTATTTTTGTACTGATATTGCAGAGCAAAAATTTTTGGGAATACAAAAACGCCACTAGTAAAGCGCATGAACTAGCAGTAGGAGGAAAAAACGAGGAATTGCAATGCTTCTGTGTTGATCAGGTGATCCTTTTAGACATTGAACAAGTAGAGACTAGAGAGATTATATTTATCTTTCACGTACTCTATTAAGCAAGTGAGTTGAATTCAGCACTTAACATTGATCGATTTAGGTTGAGAGAATAATGGAGCTATGGAACAAAAATGATGAGTTCAGAAGGGACTATGTCCGATGCAACACTAGGAGTACACTGAGGAGACTGCAAACCCTGGATGGCCGATCACTTGGACCTGATGAACAGCCCCCTGTAATTCCTAATGCCATAACTGAAAGAGCTGTCAAAAATAATTCCATGGTTTCGCAGTCAACTGTGGAACAAGAAAAGAAACCAACATCAACAGAGTCTGTTAGTATAAAGGATGAACCTGTTTCGAAGGTTGTTGTACAAAGAACTGAAACAAGTCAGACAACAACCAAATCTAAAAAGCCTATTAAACCTGCTCCCTTAGAGAAGTTCGTGGCTCGATGGGGTGATGAGTCTGATGAAGAAGAAAAAGAACAAGAAAAAGAACCTGCGAGAACAAAGGAGGAGGAAGAGATGATACTGAAGGCTGAAAAGGCAAGGAAGGAGGAAGAAGAGGCAAAGTTGAAGGAAAAGCGGAGGCAAGAGGAGATTGAGAAAGCTAAGGAGGCATTGCAGAGGAAAAAGCGTATTGCAGAGAAGGCCCAACAAAGGGCACTGTTAAAGGCACAAAAAGAAGCTGAACTGAAAGAAAAGGTAACTACTATAATTTTGACTTGGGATGAAATCGAAGAGAATGGAATATAGCGGTATCATGTGCTATAATTTGGATTGGTAAAATGAGGATGGAATTAATTGAATATATTCCATCATATTCTATTGTTTACATCTAACCCCACAAACTAGAGAGGAATGAGATGGAATGGAGAAGTTCTTCTATTCTCATTGTATTTTAATCCATTCCATTTCATCTCATCTCTTCCCATCAATCCAAAGCAACCTTAGTTATTTGGCTGTTGTTCTTCAACTATATAACCATACATATGTGGTGCAGGAAAGAGAGAAGAGAGCAAGGAAGAAGGAAAGAAGAAAGGCCTCTTCTGCTGTCGCTGCAGAGAATACAGAAGAAGAATCTGCTCCTATATCAGAAACTGTAACAAGAAGTATTGAAGAAAGTGATCAGAGTGAGAAACCAGCTGAGGTAACAAAAAAGGCACAGAAAGCATCTCAATTCACGAGGCAGACCAAAACAAAATCTGTACCCCTGGCTCTTCGCAACCGGGGGAAGAGGCGAATTCAACCATGGATGTGGGTTGTAATTGCAGTTTTGGTTGTTGTTGCCTTGTTTTATGTGGGCAATAGCAGCTCTTTGAGATCTTCGCTCGAAGGCATTGGTTTCTGAGGACGCTACTAGGTGTTTGTCAGGGAAGTTACCCTTACATATTTTATTACTACATACATACATATATAGGTGCAATTCTTTCGTGCCCATGCAATTTTTTCCTCCCTAGTTTTTGGCCTATAGTCATTATTTTCTTCATATTGAGATTTGTTATTTTGAGATGTGATGTGACTGCTGAATGCTTCTGCCACCGATTATGATAATAAATTATTGTGATTGTTTTTTTTTTTTTAATATTTTAATATTGGGTATTATTTATGACGTATTGTTCTTATCGGAATCTTGAAGATGGGTGCATAAGTTACACTCATTTGATGTGGCCACGCATCATAAAGTTCGAAGAAATAAATAGCGGTAGAGGTTCCATAGAAACAAATGATATTGTTTAATATGAAAAAGATGGTATATGATACATTTGAGACTCATATTTATAGAGTTTATTGTGACCTAATACAATAACTAACTAGGAACTTTCTAACTAAAACTGCAACTAACTCAATCACTAATTCATGACTTCTGTTAGTTCTATAATTTTTCTTTTCCTAATGTGGCTATTTCTAATTACTAGGATAGAAAAAGCTACGGTGTTTTTTTTTCTTTTCTTTTCCCTCCTCCTTTCTTTTGTGTGTTTTTGGTTCGAATAACACATTCAACAACAACAAAGCATTTTCATTTGTTGCTTAAGCGTATACTCAAGCTCTAACGAATATCCTCAATAGTAATGCTTCAACTTGATGTGTATCCAGCTAAATAAATATGAGCAAATTATCCTCACATCTTTTGAGGTTTTACAAATTTTATTTTTTTTAACTGTTTACAATAACTTTCTTTACATGAAGAAGTTACTGTTATTTTTTTTAATAAAAATTTTACAATAACTTTCTTTAGTGAAGAAGTTACTGTATAATATTTTTTAAATGATTAAAGAGTTAACGTAACCTCCATGGAGTGTTAATATAATATTTTCAAACAATTTAGGAGGTTAAGGTAGAAAAAATAGAAAATGTTTGTAATCTCATGAAACTTAAGTAATATTTATATAATTTACTCTAAATATATGTTATTTGCAGACAAATTTTTTCATATATTAAATATAAATTTAAATATATTTTTAATGAGTCTTGATATTGGTTATTATATATATATGTATATATATTTATTTTTTATTTTTATCTTTTTAAAATTTGTAAACATTATTTGTCTCTGTAAAATGAATAAATTTTTGTTTTTATAAAATATTTTTCTTTGATTTTGATTTTTCTAAATTTTAAAATTACTATTTTTGATTCTTAATGACATTTTAAGATATATATATATATATATATATATATATATATATATATA